ACATGACCGCGGTCTCCTTCTCGCCATCATTGGCGATTACGAACCCTGAGCTCGTCTGGCCCCATCATCAAGAACAGAAGCAGCGAGCGGCTATGTCGAACGCACATAACCAAGCCCAATCTCAGCCCCAAGAGCAAGCCAAGCCTTCATCCGCCTCGACTTACTCGGAGTCTACTACCTACTCGTACGACAAGGACCTGAGCCAAACCGAGACTAAACAGAAGCGGTCGATGCGGCAAAGAATCAAGAATACCCTGAAGGACATGGGCAGCTCGCCTACCACCCGGTCCGAACATGGCCCCATGGGCTCGAATCCCCAGAGTCGAACATGAGACAATAATAACAGCCAAGTGTATATGACACCACATACAACCCCAACGTAATGAGAAAATTGGGAACTCTGTCTAGGTTCTTTTGAACGTACCTATACTAGTAATGAACTATAACATGGATAATCATGGGGTGGTAATCTATGGACTTCGGCCTATCAGGGCAGGGTTGGGACTCGGGTAGGATAGGAGGGATATATAAGGCTTTCGTTTTCTACCTATGCATTGTTTCTCTTAGGATCAAATGGATACAAAGACGATGCCTGCAGTATGTCATGGCCGAAAGGCATCCGGGTTTAGACTCGATGATTTAATATGAATGATATATAAATTCTAATTTCTTATATGATCACTTTACTTGATTTCATCGAGATATGCTTACCTACCTATGATTCCTGGGACTACCTAGCGCTCATAGCACCCATATCTACGGCGCATATCCCAAAAGCCAAGTTTGCCGGCTGAGCTGTCTACTAGAAACGTCAAGTTCGCGTCCACGAATCCCTTTCAATTCGCCCTTGGGTTTGTCATCTACTTGGATGCATTTGACAAGCTCTAGCAGACTTTAATTTTGAGAGACATAATAAAGCCAATGCGAGTCGTCATTAGATGACTGTAGTCGGGTTATTTAATAGTCATTCTTAATAGAAAACCTTCAGATCCTCGTACACCTCGCGCATCCACCCGCACCTCCTCATATGACAGAGCCCCAAGATGATCATCGTCGTCTAGTAGTATCAAATTCTCACGATAACGGACCCAACCGTCAAGATGTAAAATGAATGATCCGAGAGAAGAGGTAGGTAAATGCCAATACAGAGAAATTAGGCGAGCGATAGTATTTATTGGACGCCCTAGCCCTAATCTCCCGGTTGGCTACAGTTTTAACGACTTGAAAACGAGTCGTGAGTCAAAAGCGATATCCTTAAGCAAGTCGGATCGCATTTCTATGGCGAGATTCGTGGGAAAGTTTACAAGCAGTCACTTGGTAGTGACTCATTCTTTAGCCACTTTATCTCGGACCAATATCAAATACGGATCACGACATTGGAGGCTTTACATCGTGGGTGGGCTTGTGTGACCTACAGCTCTACCCTTCAAGACGATTGCATCCTTAGAGCCTCGTTCTATTACAATAGTCTTCACTACGTCTTTTACATGCTCCCCTGGAATTGATTCACTTGCTTTGACTCATACACGCATCCTCAGGTATGGCGAGGTGGCTTCGAGGAACTACCTCTTACAGACATGGAGTTACCATTTTATATAGCCAATAATTCAGAACCTGTACCACTGAAAAGGTTCAAATCGTGAAGATATTGCAAAGCATTACTTGAATAGGCCAGGCCGATTCTACAATACGGGCGACTGCATCTTCCACGATGACTAGTTGAAATGCGTACCATAATGTCGGAGCAGTCGATGAAGGCCTCGATTCAACAGTCCTTGGCATTTTATACACTCTACTCGTCAAAGTCTATAAAGACAGCTGCCCCTCTCAGGTCTATCGTCGTGTTTTCATTCTATTAAGACCAAGTCTGGGGCACGCTTTAGGGCCGGTAGCAAGCACTTACCCACATATAGAAGCATCAACATTCACTTTACTCTGAAATTGATTGCGGTTACCTGTCAGCCATCATGTCTTGTAGCCAACCCCCAAGCCCTGAGGGCAGCTTGCGTGATAATGCCAGTCGGCATGGACATAATGGTAGAGAGATACCGCATACGCCTCCGCGACCTAATCCTCTAAAGACACTCATCATCACGTGTCCCATACTTGAGAAGATCCCACTGCCTTCCGAGGAACTTAGCCCTCTCCGGCAACGTACACAGTCCCCCCCAAACATGGGTATCAGTATGTTCACTACCAGCTTCACATTGCTATCCCGCACCTCGTCCTAATCGGCGTCATGATATGGGTTCTAATCATATATATTATAGAAACGATCCTTTTCATGGACCTATTGTTCACGCCCAGGTTCAGCACCGAAGATAATTTGACTCTGATGAGGCGATACCAGCTGCTTTCAGGTATCGCGCTGCAACTAGTCTATGCCGCCAACGGGCCCAACACGTATCGTGATGACCAAATCGACATGTGCATCAACGAGATCGAGAACGCCATTGAGAAGATCGGGGAGGCAATGAAACCATGGGCTGAAAGCAGAAACGGCAAAGTTCAGGTGCTATGGCAACGGCCATTGACACAGTCGACGATCTCGGATATCAAGCGCGTGATCCGAGTTAGGCCCATCGAGGACGACGAGCTAACTGCATGGGGTCCGACCAACAAGACGGAACCCTATCCCGCGTCCGAGGAGACCCGGGCCTTGCACAAGCACATATCCCAGCTGGATTGCGTCCTTTCCATCATTCGCAACACTAGGATTGGCATGACGGGTCGCATCTCGTTCCCGCCAAACACCGTCGCGTGGTATCTAGATGATCGTGGCGTCAAGATTCCTCCCCAGACGGATGTAAACTTAGATGGTGACGAGGTCTTTTTTCCCAATTACAAGATGGCGCCGGTCGGGGGCAACGAACTCCGGCCGGGTGGCCGATTTCGAGGTGAGCGCCCGCGCATGTACCCCCTAGAGGTCGTAACACCACCCACTAATGATGTGACGAATAGGAATCGTCAAGCTTCGCATGAGTCGAAGGAACAGATTTGGGGTGATCGTCGCGAGCACCGGGACTGGCTGCCTTCTGAACGACAACACAGTCGTCACCGCCGGCCACTGCGTTCTCAGGCGTGGCCAGCGCCCGTTCGCCATCCAGGTGGTCGTAGGCTACGGCAGGAACGGGGAAGAAGACTCTCGATGGGGGTCGCACGTGGTGAGTCACTGGGGCTGGTTCAGAGACTACGCGAGAGGGCACGACCTTGCTCTGATCCGGGTCAACAAATTCGACAACGAAGTGCACTTCAACTGGAAGAGTGCTCCGACACGGGGAGACGTAGAGATATTTGTTGCCGGTTATCCCTCGTACGCGAGCGAGGAACTGAAAGGGAAGGATAGGAGGAACGAGGTCATGCAGAAGAGCGAAGGCACCGCGAATTGCTGGAGAATCACCGACGGAATGATTAGGCACAAGGCCTCTACGTGGAATGGTACGTACCCCTATAATTATTTCAGCACATATTTGCTCCTCCGAGGCACGTCTAACTCAAAGAACTTCTTGCTAGGATCTTCCGGCAGTCCGATTCTACATCTTAACGACAAGATAATTGCTATACATTCCGGGCGGAGGTTCGCTGACGACGGAACTGAGTACAACGCCGCAGCGGCGCTTGACCTGAAGCTGAACAACCTCGACGACATGCAAACGGCTCTCGAGATGTTCGAGACTAAATATCATACTAGCAATGGCAACGCAGCAGATGCTGAGGGGTTTGAGCCCCTCATCATCTTAGACAGGAATGGGGAGGAGCTCTTCCGTATTTTCCATATGTGAACTCGGCTTGCCTAGCGTAGTCTGGGGCTGAGGCACATTCTCCTTCTCTAAGAGGTGGTCATTGAGAGTTTTGGTTTGGGGGGAACCTGGTACGTTCGCTATACGCCATCAAGGTGCACCTTATGCCGCGGCATATAGGCCGTTCCGGGATTTAGACTGGTATGAAGAGTTGATTTGTTGCCGGGGATATTGTGACTAGAAAGTTGATTAGGAATTTGGTCGCTTGGCTGGGGATATCTGCTCTGCGGATGATCACATACGCATTTTCATATGTCGAGGCCTATCCTCAATCCACTCCTTTATCCAAACTTGGAGCCATTGTATAGGCTTACTACCACAATCTAATATCTGAAAGGCTAATATCTGAAAGGCCGAGGAGGATCTTGATTCTAATTGGCGGCTAACTGGAACGATATTTGTTGTTTCGAGATTCGGATCCAGCAGGCCTCCACTCGGGTCACTCTTTCGAACGTTTTATCGAATTGAATCTCTTCCGATTAATTATAAGATCTGTTCGAACATTGATTGATTGAAGAAGTTGTATGCACAAGCGGCTATGGTCTCTGATGCAATCCACCAACTGACACTATCTGCAGCCACCTGGATTGTCCTGCTGTTAGGCCTTGATCCAACCGATTCATTCAGGATATGTGACACATTCCGAGTCAACAACGATTGAGTGGAACATAGGAGTCTATGATCAACATAGACTATCTTAGTAAGTGGGCACACTAATCATCTTTATTATCTTACCGAGACATCGAATTACGTACAAGCTTAGATAATATTTAACAAAATGTTTAGGACTGCAATTATTATAGAAGCTTTCCATGAAGATTTCCATCTCGCAAAACATAGTATGAGATTCTCGTAGAAACGGCCGCGTAGTGTAGTGGTTAGCACGCAGGATTTTGATACGAAATTCCTGAGACCTGAGTTCAATCCTCGGCGGGGCCTCATAATTATTGCTTTTTATATATTTTCTCTTTTTCGTAAGTGAGTCGAGATTGTGGTGAAGTGTTACGAAGCAACCTGATTAAGTCATCCCTTCGTTGGCTGAACGATTACATAATCAAGTGGATCAGGTCTGCCTGCCCTTCAATGTGCACACACCAATTGGTACCTTCCATAAAATAAGAGAATTGCTTTTTGCGACTTGCTTCCACTATTGCTCAGCAGAAAAGATGCGAGATACGCAAAAAAGCGAAAAAGAAAGGATCCCTCGGGCCGGAATCGAACCAGCGACATTTCGGTAACAATTGTGCACAATTACAGCCGAACGCCATAACCAACTAGACCACCAAGGGAGGTGTGTGGGTATATTCTTGCCTGTTGAGGGAAGTGGACTTCCCGGCGAGGGGCAGGTGATCGTTTCCTGCGAAGTTTGGCTATATGTACTTGTAGCAATCGCGCCTGAGGTCACGCAATGACCCTTGTCAAACACGGCACCAGCCACCAGCTGCATGCTAAGTCGTGGAGCCAATCAACCCCTTCGGTGACCCTTATTGGCTCTGTTCAAGCGCATCCATTGCACCAACATGGGAGCATCAACACGCGCCCTTCATCTTGAATCCTCTTCAACTTCTCAACACTACACTTCTCGCCTTTCGCTTTCCAAGTGCATTATCCTATCTTAACTGGTATATATCTAAAAATGCCTTAGCTTAAATCACCCCTGGATTTATGTCAGCCATACAAGCTAAGTATTATGCCTTCGCCACCTGTTTCCTCACATACGGCCTGCGATGAATCTTCTGTGCATGAAGATCGCATATATGATGTCTTGATAGTCGGTGCTGGGATCCTTGGGTGCGCCTTGGCCGTTACTCTTGCGCGTCACGGTCGACAAGTTTTGCTAATTGAGCGCAATCTAAACGAACCCGACAGGATTGTCGGCGAACTACTGCAGCCCGGAGGCGTGGCCGCATTATCTCAGCTGGGCCTTGGCTTCTGTCTCGAAGGCATCGGCGCAGTCCCAGTAACAGGTTATCGCATTTTCTACCACGGCGACGTGATTACATTCCTATATCCTCCAGTTTTGGACTGTAGCAAGGACTCGTCCGATCAATGCAGTTCGAAGAGACCTGAAGGGCGAAGCTTCCATCACGGAAGATTTGTGATGAAACTGAGGGAGGCCGCAAGGAGAGAGAAACACGCCGAAATCGTCCAAACGACTGCAAGGGAACTTTTATGGTCTGGATGCCCAAAAAGAGTGGTTGGAGTACGTTGTTATAGTCATACCGAGGAACAACCCGTTGACTACTACGCGCATCTCACGATAGTTGCAGATGGTCAAGCCTCAAAGTTCCGATCAAAGCTTGTTGATCGGTATCCTACCGCCAATTCGAGGTTCTGGGGTTTAGAACTTATCGATGCTGATCTAGGCAGCTACTCACTCGCGTTGGGCATTATAGGTCACGGAGGCCCGGTCTTAATGTACCAGATCGGTGAGCGGGAGACTCGCATCTTGATTGATATACCGGATACTGTCTACAGAACGTGTTCTAAACATGGCGGAATCGAGACGCACATCCGGACCAACGTTATCTCAACCCTACCGGATACCGTACGCCCTGCAGTTGAAAGAGCCCTAGCAACTAAAAGGCTGCGTTCTATGCCTAACAACTGGTTACCTTCGTTTGAAACCCGAATACCGGGCGTAGTCTTACTGGGAGATGCTATGAATATGCGACATCCCTTGACTGGAGGCGGGATGACCGTTGCTCTGAATGATGTTGTATTGCTCAGCCAATTACTGAGTCCGGAGCAAGCGCCTTCATTGAAGGATTCAGCCACGGTTTTGAGACAGATGCGAAAATTCCACTGGAAACGCAAGGCGACTAATGCAAGCTTGAATATCTTAGCTCAGGCCTTATATTGCTTATTTGTCGCAGACGGTAAGACGCTTCGTATATCCAATCCCGAACCTACACTAATTCAACCTGAATTAGACCCACTGCTTGAAGTTCTTCAGCAAGGCTTCATGAAATATATCAAGCATGGCGGGAAATACGTCGAAGAGCCCTCTGGGCTAATGGGTGGCGTCTATCATAGCCCGTTCCTTCTGTGCTACCACTTCTTTTCGATAGCCATCTACAGTCTCTGGATCCATCTGTGTGAAGTCGGTGCAGACGCCCCCTGGAAGCTGCCGACAGCATTAATCCAATGCTTTCTAATATTCTGGAGAGCTGTCAAATTAATCAGCCCGTATATTCTCGTTGAATTCCATTAGGGATCTTCCAAACTACGACACTTCACAAGCTATGGAAGTGAAAACCCTTCACTAAGCACTATCTACGGTTTGCTCAAACCAAACATTCGGTATCCAAAAAGGCGTGCATGCGGTATCACATCCTTTGTACAACCACGCGAAGATAGGCTGTCCGGGCCAGCTGAAGTCTTACCTAGCGCCTCTCAAATGCAGCAATACAACCATCAAATAGAATCAGCCAATCATATTTTAGCTAGAGCCGCAGGCAACGCACGTTGGCTTCTGACACCAACACGTCCATCTATTTTAAGGTATATACTGGGACTTCACTTACATATTAAAATCTCTAAGTCTCACGACGGAAACATTGAGGACTTCAAAGGAATATGTGCAAATCATAACAGAATGGCCCCCGCCGAAATCGCCACAGATCTCGCTACACTACCTGGCGTTGATACGCAGCCCCCAGCCCGCCTCGGCTGGGAATCGTCGCCAAATCAACGTGGATCCATCGACATAATTTGGAGTTGCATTCTTGTTTTATTCGTATGCGTGTGGGCGGTGTTACATCACAATTTACCTGCACGAACGGATGGGTATTGGCGTATTCTTCGACGGAAGACGCGATGGGCTGCTTTGGCAGTCTGCGCACCCGAATTGCTCACCCTATTCGCTGTCATGCAATGGCACGGAGCGAAGATATCGGCAGCGCAAATGCGAGAACTTGGAGACGAAGACTGGTCGATCGTTCATGGGTTCTATGCCAACGCTGGCGGCTTCGTTCTCATCACTCCTGGCTTCCCACCGTTCCCGATCAACGCGACATCGATATTTTACCTCCGATCAATCGGCTGGATCAATCCATTAACCATTACCCGGGACGATATATGGGATCGCAGCAAAGCGGACTTGTTTGCTAAGGGCTTTGCCATAGTGCAGACTTGTTGGCTGCTCATACAATGCATCGCCCGTGCTGCCCAGGGCCTGGCCATCACTCCCATCGAACTGTTCACCGTGGCATTCCTGGTCCCAACCATTGCGACATCTTACTTCTGGGCCAACAAGCCACAGAACGTGGAAGAGCCGTCAGTCATAGTGGCTAATTGGCGGATTGAGGATCTCCTTATTCATGCAGGGGAGTCAGCCAAGGTTCCCTACGTTGACACGCCTATGGACTTCGTCGAGAAGCCGGTTTGGGAGGGTTGGAAACGCCGCCCTGCTCTACTCCACTTTGGCGGCCTCGAACAACGGCCACTTGCCCGCATTCCTAACGATTATTCGCCGCCGCCTCCGTCGGGCAAGGAGGCGTTGTTCGTGTGGGTGGTATCTGTTATACATGCCGCCGTGCACATTGCCGGCTGGGATTTTGACTTCCCTACATATACCGAGCTTCTGCTGTGGCGGGCATCGACTATTGTCTTGCTGGCCGTCATGATGGTTGGTGGCGCAGTTCCTGTCCTGTCAACGCGGGAATGGTTCGACTTCACCTTCAACCTGCTCTGGATTTGGGTCCGCGACGCTCGTAAACCAACCTGGGTCAGGCGGCATCTATTCAACTTTGTAGTCGATGTTGCCTATGTCGTTTACATATTGGCAAGATTGATTATTTTCGTCGAGATATTCATCTCGTTCCGTTCGCTACCTGCCAACGCTTACGACGATGTTAGTTGGACAGCATTTCTGCCACACATCTAATACTGCTGGTAGCGATAAGAAATACTCATTATTGGCGTATTGCCAGCTTTTCCTGTTTCTAATATAGGTCTGGCGACCTTAATGTTTTGGCTCTTGCGTTTGGAATATGCTTGGCAAATTTAGATGGTCAATACGAGACATTTACAGATAGACATATGTTAGAAGTTTCGATTAGAAGGTACCTTAGGTAGGTAGATTATAGGTATGTTAAACCGCGCTTCATATACTTCTTTGATCGGTTCCCAGTTTCATGAAGAGGGGACAAGGGAGTTAAGATACACCTCAACATTCGCATATCCGGAACTGCTAATCTTCATCGCATCGCTTGCATCATGGGAGTCTAGCCCGTGTGCGTCCTCCCAGGCATCCGGAATCCCATCACCATCAGTGTCCGTCGCTGCGGCCCCACCTACACTGGTCTCCAAGCTTAGGGAGCTCGCATTTTCATCGCTTATGAGTTCCCCTTTCTTACCAAAACTCCGAACTTCCGCTACGAGGCCCTTGTCGACTTCGTCACGCACAGGGAAATTGGCGCCGACGTTGTTTAGAACGTATGTCACGGCATCAGACGCAGCCATTAGGCGCTCAGGGCCCGGATAGACGAATCTTGTCTGTTGAATATCCATTTCACTGTAGCAAGACGTCTGGGCACAAAGAGGGGAGCCGTTAAGGGTACCATCTCCGTCGCCATCGTAGTAGTTCTCTGATATGTCTAGTGAGGTAAGCCTCTAATCAGACAATCGACATACAGTTGATACACTTACAGCCATGAAAGTTGGTGTTTCCTCGCGTGAAAGCGGACACGCTCGTGCTAGGCCCAGAGATGAAGTAGTTGTTGATGACATTAGCATAGCTCTGGCCTGCGCTATCACCAGCGATGTAAGCTCCTCCTCCTCCCCAGTTGTAGACGACCTAATGCGATGTTAGAGATATATTAGGGATATATCGAAATCACCTCTCGGTAAGCTCACATTGTTTTGGAAGTCGTTCATGCCTTTCACCTTAGGATTCCTCGTCTTGTTGTCGATGTACAAGTTCCTGAATAGACTAATACCGTAGTCCGATTGCATGAGTCCTCCGCACGAGTGCGTCTCCAAGCCCTGTCCGATGATCGTGTTTTGCACCGTCACATTATGCACAGCGCCGTTGATGGAGAAAGTCTCGTCTCGACCCCAGGCGGCTGACACATGGTCGAAGATCATGTTGCTGCCTTCAGCAATGGTGATTCCGTCTATTGTCATATTTCAATGCATCAGCCTCTTTCACCATGCTCCTATAGGGAGGGAATACCTTTTCCCGAATCGCCACCTTTGCCCATGCGGAATCGAACATAACGCACGATGGCATCATTGGCATTAGAGAACGACATGCCATTGCCGTAGATCGTAATGCCCTATGATC